TGTTCATACCTTATTATACTCTGTGTGGATTTGCAGGGAAGGGCTAAGGCGGTTCCCTAGCTTACGGTTTTCTGTCATATTAGATCGCGATTTCTACAGAGGACAGCTCACTTACTTACCAGATTAGGAGTTGGAGGTCACCGGTGTGGTTAGATGTTGATGGATGTTTGGCTGTTTGTGCATGTTCCCTTTGTGTGCCACCCCAGCCCTGCACAGACAGCTGGCACAGCAGACCTTGAGCAAACCACCCAATGACCACAAGGGACAAAGGCACCCAGCCAGGTTTATTGTCAACAAAGCACGGTACTAGTATCCCACAGACTCTACCGGACCACTAATACATGTATGCCTGTAACAATGGACCAGCTCAGTGAATGGCGGGACTTTCCGTTCCTCCCTAAGCCAGACAAAAATACTCCCTCTAAGATACATCTTTATATCCTGACAGAAACCAGTTAGTACTGCCTCTGATATAATTAGTTACTGCCCCCTGATGTGGCTAGTTATTACCCATCACCTTGTACATGTTGATTTGATCAAAAAATCTCTATTACGTACTGTCATCCTGACCTTGTCTTTTAGGAGGGGTCAATGTGTTCCTGTTATCCTTGGGGAATGTTTTTGTACCATCCTTGATATTGGGATGTTTTGGTACCACTTAATATCAGGATGTGTTTGCATGCGCACTCTGTGCCTAGCACTTCTTAGGAATGTGTATTTCTGCAATACCCGCCTTGTTCTTGCCAGATTCTGTGAGCAGGGTCCTGCCTCATACCAGGCCTCTGATACAAGGGCTTATGTCTCAGGCTTGCTTCCTACTACAGCTGTCAGATGCAGTCAGGATGGGGGAGGGCATATATGCACCTAGACAGATAGAAACAACATATAAACAAGGAGAATAAGAGTACATTTGAGGGGACTTTGTAATTGATTTGTTTAATTTCTGATCAACGAACAGGTAAATGCAGGACCTTCCATTTCAGTCCCAGTTACCTCCATGTTTATCTAGCCTGTATGATAGACTCAGAATGGATCTTGAATATAGGACGTCAGGTCTCAAAATCCCAGCTTGCTAATTCTATGTGAATGTGAATTCCATGAAGAGAATTGCAGTATCAGTTGTCCAAACCGACCAGTTAATCTAACATACCATTTTGGTTCAACAGTCTCACCTTGCTTTTCAACTAGCTGAGACTTGCTAATGCCTGGTATTAAATAATGTATTAGATCAATCGCTGCAAAATATATAGTATGAAAGTCATTGGACAGCATTAAAAAAGAGTTATTATACACACACACACACATACGTTATGTGTGTATGTATATACAGAGAAAGAGTTGTCTGGGGAAAAGATTTTGGGGACACACACACACACACATTCACATTTATGCCTTCCCTAGACAACTCTAAAGACTAAGTAAGAATTTCAGGCCTTGGCCCCAAGTGTCTGGCTAACAAGCAAGTGTGAATAATAAATCACCATATCTCAATTCCCCTCCTCCCCATACAAACCTATTCTCCTCCATGGAGTGTAAATTGGGACCATGAGGTTTTGCCTACAGTGGGACTACTCACGTGCTTAATGTTAAGCATGTGCTTAAGTGTTTTGCAGAGTCAGGGGCCTAAGAAAATGGAAAATTAACACAGGAGCCAAGATTTTCAAAAACGGGGCCCTAAAGTGAGGCTCCGAGATCCTGTTTAGGACTTGAAAGCGTCTTAGTTTGAAAATCTTAGTCACCTCACGTCATTCTCAGTGCAGTATGTGTCCACCTGGGTGCATATAAGTTATTAAGGAAGTAAGAAATTCTGAACACATCTGTTGAAAATATGTCCCAGATAGAAGTGCCAAATATGAGGCCGTATCCTGCTTTCCTTGGAGACAACTGGGAGTTTTCCTGCCTTGAAATCATCCCTGCTTCTGAGAGGCCTGTCTGTTTCCACAGCTGAGTTATAATGCACAGTAAGCCCAATGATTGCAGGTGACCACTGATCTCCCTTACAATCTCACAGGACTGCTCACACTTCCTGCGGGAAGGAGTTAAGAATGATTTCCTGTGAAAGACACTTCATTTTAAACCTCTGATTGATGCTAAAGATAAAACAATTGGCTTTTGGCCTTTCATTTTTAACACCCAGCTTTCTCTTTTCCCACCAGGGTCTCCCTTCATTGTTAGCAAGACATGCACACCCATGAGTATCAGCAGCACACCTTCAATCTCGTCCTGCAAGACAGCTAGTGCCAAATGCTTTTACAAGAGTACTGTGCAGCAGCCAAAGACTGGCAGCCTTTACATTAGAATCCCGACTCGCCAGTCCCACACCCACATCTATTGACCTACTAACCTGAAGCACCAGCCAACCATCGCCAGGCAACAGGACTGCAAAGGAGCCACTCAGAAACAGCCAGCAGGAAGTTCTGAAAAAGCAGCCAATCAATATTTAACCGGACCTTGGGTCTCCATACGCAACACACCCTGGGGGATCGAGTCTCCTCATCAGCTCTGCATGCCCTAGGGAAGCAGGGACTGGAGCAGATCCCTTTGTACCTGCAGTTGGACATGTCTCTGTGCCTTCCACCTTGGTGAGCAGGACAATCGAAGAGTATTTATGTTTGCAGTGTTGTTGCAGCCATGTTGGTCACAGGATATGATTGAGACGAGGTGGGTGAGTTAATATCTTTTATTGGACCAATTTATGTTGGTAGAAGGGACAAGCTTTCAGGCTACACAGAGCTCTGTGACCTGAAGAAGAGCTCTGTGTAGCTCAAAAGCTGGTCTCTCTAACCAACAGAAGTTGGGTTCAATAAAAGAGATTACCTCACCCACCTTGTCTCAATCATATTTATTGCACCTTGAGAAACTACCATTATCAAGTCAAAGCAATGAACTGTTTGCATCAGGAATTCACAAGCAGATCATTTTTATATGGAGTTGTATTTTGGAGAGAATTTTTCCTGCTATTTTATTACTTGAGTTTATTTGTCTATCATTGAATTTCTTGGTTTTATTTTCTGTATTATTTCTGACCATTAAAAAAGAACAGAATGAAACAGAAAATGTTCCTTCAAAGGAAGCGCTGCTTTTCGTGCTTAGATTTTACCGACGTGTTAATGTGTCGTTTGCCTTCATCCCAATGTAATCCTGTCCTGTGTAGGCCTGTGTCATAAGTGTAAAGGGAAGGGTAACCACCTGCTGCATACAGTGCTATAAAATCCCTCCTGGCCAGAGGCAAAACCCTTTCACCTGAAAAGGGTTAAAAAGCTACGGTAACCTCGCTGGCACCTGACCCAAAATGACCAATGAGAGGACAAGATACTTTCAAATATGGAGGGGGGGAACAAAGGGTTGGTCTGTCTGTGTGATGCTTTTGCCGGGAACAGATCAGGAATGCAGCCTCACAACTCCTGTTAAGTTAATAAGTAATCTAGCTAGAAATGCGTTAGGATTTCCTTTTGTTTAATGGCTGGTAAAATAAGCTGTGCTGGAGGGAATGTATATTCCTGTTTTTATGTCTTTTTGTAACTTAAGGTTTTGCCTAGAGGAATTCTCTCTGTTTTGAATCTGATTACCCTGTAAGGTATTTACCATCCTGATTTTACAGAGGTGATTCTTTTACCTTTTCTTTAATTAAAATTCTTCTTTTAAAAACCTGATTGATTTTTCATTGTTCTTAAGATCCAAGGGTTTGGGTCTGTGTGGTGAGGATTCTTATCAAGCCTTCCCCAGGAAAGGGGGTGTAGGGCTTGGGTGGGATTTGGGGGAAAGACATCTCTAAGTGGGCTCTTTCCCTGTTCTTTGTTTAAAACGCTTGGTGGTGGCAGCATACGGTTCAAGGACAAGGCAAAGTTTGTACCTTGGGGAAGTTTTTAACCTAAGCTGGTAAGAATAAGCTTAGGGGGTCTTTCATGCAGGTCCCCACATCTGTACCCAAGAGTTCAGAGTGGGGAAGGAACCTTGACAGCCTGGTTTGTCCTGCGAGAGGCACCACAGCAAACAGTGTAAGAACTCTAAAGACCTCAGTGCTACTGAAGTCTCATGCTTTCCCCGGAGGAGGCACAGAAGGGAATGATGCAGGAATAGAGGCAGTGGGCAGCTCCTAGCTACCTGCTCCCAGCCTCTCTCAACAGGAAGGGAAGGCACAGGAGTGCCGGCTGTTGTGGGAGCTTCCAGCTATTCCACTCCCAGCCTCTTGCTGTTGGCAATGGGGAAAGACTGCTGACTGGGAGTCGATGGGAGCACCAACCTATGTGATTCCCAGCCATTCTGGACCGGGGGCCCTGTCTAGCACTGCGACTGTATAACATGGAAAACTCACTAGAAGCAGGAAATACAAAGCTTTGGCTGAAAAATGTGTGTGGGGGGGGTTTCCAGTGACTATTCCTTTCTCCCCTCCTCTACCCCAGTGATTTATGGTTGTGGCATTCCTGGCACTGTGTGGGAGAGGGAGCCACACCAAGGTCTCCAATCTGCAGACCAAGGTCGATAATGTATCACTGTATGTTGACCAAATGACCCTGGAAACCAGCAAACCCCCAGGCAGGAGGGGAGGGCAGATGCAGCACCCAGAGCTGGGGAGCTCTGGAATGTCTAGAGCCAGCGAACGACTGATTTAGAAAAGGTGGGAGAGACTCCCCTCCTTGCCAAATAAATCACTGCTCTTCTCTCTCAGGGAGTAAAGCCTCCCTACAGCTTTGCTGGAGCAGTTCTCCCCAATGCACAAGCCATAAAGGCACCAAGACCAGATGGCAGGTACCCTTTGTGTGGCCACAGCAACCTCTGTGTTCAGGAGGGAAGGCAGGTGCTTGTGAATGGATCTGGTCCCAGGCTGCCTTCACTGGAAAGGGGGCAAAGAAAGAGAACAGGCTGACAAATACTTCTCTGCCTGTATAAAGAAAGCCTTCTGTGGCCCTGCCCTGTCCTTCATCACTTGGCAAAACTCCCCACCCTCCAGGACAGCCAAAGAGGTTAGAAATGGGGAAGACTTCTCAGGTCACCTATCCATTCCCTTTTCCCACTCCCTCCCATGCTCCTCCCACTAGCCCCCAGCCCCTCCGCTGCTAGGGAAAGATTGTTCCCTGCAGTCTAGTGTCCAGGGCACTGAGTGGTTACCGTCCCTTCGCTCTGAGCAAGGCCAGCTCTCATGAACAGGAACTGAAAGAGATAAAGGGTCTCAGTTAAGAGAGAAAAAGACCATCCCAGAGACTAGGAGGCAGAAAAAAGGGAGAGGAAGCCATGACTGCTTCCACAGAGACAGGTATGTGTGTAGGTGAAAGAGAGAATGTATGTGTATGTCTGTCTATGTGTACCCGTGTTATGTGATTGTTTGAGGTGAGTGATTGTGTATGTGTGTGCATGTTGTATGTTTACATGTGTTTGTGAGCACTTGTGATCACGCAGGGATGTGTAGGAGTGGATGTTTGGATGTGGGGTTCTTTGTATAATGCAAACATTTTATCGGTGTGTATTTTTATCTCTGTGTATGTGTTTCTGGGTGCAGGGGTGTATGTATGTATCTATGCTTGCATGCCTAGGTATAAAATGTGTGATAAGATTTGTCCCTAAAGGATGCAAATTATTGAAAACACAAGTCTCAAGGGGAGGGTGGCAGAGTGGCTGACTCAGGGGAACTGAGATTGGAATAGTGCAGAGATCATCTCTGGGGTATGAAATGCAAGCCAGCTCCAGGTAGTAGTGGGGGGTGGCAGGGTTACCAGCTGATCCAAGAGGGTCAAGGAATGGGATAGCAGGCCTGTCTGGAACATTGGGCCTGAGCCAGCACTAGGTGAAGAAGATTGGACGGCCTGGGGATTGGGGGCTGGGATACAAAGACTTTCATTCCTAGGGCATTGCTTCTGATGCAGCCCCAGGCTGGTTATAACCATGTCATGGCTACGTGGCAGCCAGTGTTGAAAGAAAGGTATTTATTTTTGTATTCCTGTACAAGAGTGAACATAGTTCTACGTCTGTGAATTAGCTGGTCCAGCTCCTATCAGTCATGCACCCACATCATTGGGAGCACTGCTATTAAGTGTCCCTCTTGCAAGTAGGGTAGGGAAAACTGACTTTGGTCCGGGATAAAAAGGGTTAAAATCTGACACACCAAGAGCTTTCCTAAACTCCCTTTGAACTTTATCTAATCCCCTTGCAAAGGCGCCAAGATGTTTCATCCCAGGCCTGGGAACCAAGGTCACTAGGTCTATATTTTCATTCTTTCAGCTATCGTCTTCAAGGTTCCTACGAACCAAACTAGTTGCACAAGAGCAGGATGGCAGCTCCATTCTGGGAGCTCAGAGATGCATGAGAGGTCCTGGAGAAAGGGACTCACAGAAAAATTACAGACAGCAAGGAGAGACTGAGAGCACGGGGAGGAGGAGCCGTGTCAGCAACGTGGGGCAATTTGGCAGGACCTAATATCACAAAGAACAAAGACAGGTTTCAGAGTAACAGCCGTGTTAGTCTGTATTCGCAAAAAGAAAAGGAGTACTTGTGACACCTTAGAGACTAACCAATTTATTTGAGCATGAGCTTTCGTGAGCTACAGCTCACTTCATCGGATGCATACCGTGGAAACTGCAGCAGACTTTATATACACACAGAGATCATGAAACAATACCTCCTCCCACCCCACTGTCCTGCTGGTAATAGCTTATCTAAAGTGATCATCAAGTTGGGCCATTTCCAGCACAAATCCAGGTTTTCTCACCCTCCACCCCCCTACACACAAACTCACTCTCCTGCTGGCAATAGCCCATCCAAAGTGACAACTCTCTTCACAATGTGCATGATAATCAAGGTGGGCCATTTCCTGCACAAATCCAGGTTCTCTCACTCCCTCACCCCCCTCCAAAAACCACACACACAAACTCACTCTCCTGCTGGTAATAGCTCATCCAAAGTGACCACTCTCCCTACAATGTGCATGATAATCAAGGTGGGCCATTTCCAGCACAAATCCAGGTTTTCTCACCCCCCCACCCCCATACACACACAAACTCACTCTCCTGCTGGTAATAGCTCATCCAAAATGACCACTCTCCCTACAATGTGCATGGTAATCAAGGTGGGCCATGTCCAGCACAAAGCCAGGCTCTCTCACACACCCCCCTTCCCCCCTCCCGGGGGACACACACACACACACAAACTCACTCTCCTGCTGGCAATAACTCATCCAAACTGACCACTCTCCAAGTTTAAATCCAAGTTTAACCAGAACGTCTGGGGGGGGGGGGGTAGGAAAAAACAAGGGGAAATAGGCTACCTTGCATAATGACTTAGTCACTCGCAGTCTCTATTTAAGCCTAAATTAATAGTATCCAATTTGCAAATGAATTCCAATTCAGCAGTTTCTCGCTGGAGTCTGGATTTGAAGTTTTTTTGTTTTAAGATAGCGACCTTCATGTCTGTGATTGCATGACCAGAGAGATTGAAGTGTTCTCCGACTGGTTTATGAATGTTATAATTCTTGACATCTGATTTGTTGTCACTTTGGATGGGCTATTACCAGCAAGAGAGTGAGTTTGTGTGTAGGGGAGTGGAGAGGTGAGAAAACCTGGATTTGTGCTGGAAATGGCCCAACTTGATGATCACTTTAGATAAGCTATTACCAGCAGGACAGTGGGGTGGGAGGAGGTATTGTTTCATGATCTCTGTGCGTATATAAAGTCTGCTGCAGTTTCCACGGTATGCATCCGATGAAGTGAGCTGTAGCTCACCAAAGCTCATGCTCAAATAAATTGGTTAGTCTCTAAGGTGCCACAAGTACTCCTTTTCTTTTTACAAAGAACAAACATTTTCCCTAATGTCTTCCAGGCTGAGCCCTTCCAAAATGTTTCACAAGCTGATGCAAAGGTCCTGATTCTCCTCTTATACCACTGTAAATGAGGAGGGACTCCATTGAAATCAACAGAGTTGCACTGATGTACAAATGGTGTCAGAGGAGAACCTCTGGCCACTGTTTAGCAGGGCACAGCAATGCCACACAGCTGACTGCGAGTGAAGAAAAATCTAGTAGCCAGCTGAAACTACAGAGAGAAGTGTTGGGAGGCAAAGTGCCGTAACACAAATGAGAATTTAGCCAGGACACCAGGGTTAACACTCCTACTCCTACAAAGAGTGTCAAGGGATTCTAAGCACCCCATCCTTGGTTTTATATCTCGTCTAGAGCCATGCCCAGCACCACACTAGGGTTACAGGGTAGTGGTGACTCACAAGGGAGAGCATCCCCTACTGAACCAGCCACCCCACTCCCTGCAGCACAGCGCCCCCTAGTGCTACGCTAGAGTCAGTGCTGACTCAGAGGGAAGAGCACCCCCTACTGAGCCACCTACCCCACTGCTGATTCTGAGAGAAGAGCACCCCTACAAAGTCACTGCTTCCTGATATATTAACGCTGCCTGTGGTAGTCTCCCATCCAATTTCCAACCCAGTTAAACTCCTTATCTAGGTGTAAGGAGCATATACCCCAGGTGGCACCCCTGAGGTAAGAATGACAATACATGGCAGAAAGCTGGTGCAATTAGGAAGGAACAGGGTCACATTTCTCTGGACTTCCACTGTAAGGAATAGGTGGGTGTGAATGGTCACTGATTTCCTAAAATGCTGTCCTGGATCCCTGGGGTGAGAACTGGGATCCTAAAAATCACCTCCACCCCCAACCCACCCTGTATTTGTACCAGCTCATAGGTGACTCTCCGTTCTCTCTTCCAGTAGGTCATCCATCCAGAAGTGCTAGCCACAGGTAAGAATGACAGCTCTAGTCTGGTACGTGCCTGATGCCACAGAGAATTTCAGAGGGAGTGGGGGGGATTTTCTTCCCCTCAAACTTCTGCTATCTCAAAAGCATCTTGCTATTTTCCTTTCCATTCTCCTCTCTCTCTGTCCTTTTCATAACAATGTAGGTCCTGGTGCAGTACACTGCAGCCATGGTGCCTTGCTTTATTGTAGACAGAATTCTTGCCTTCCTTTACAATAAAGCTGCAGCTCAGACTGAACCCCTGATCCCAGAAGTCTCAGGTATCATATATCCCAGGGGTCATTAGAGACAGGACCTGGGGACACACAGTCATACAGGCAGCTTGTCTGACCATCTGCAGAGCGGTGGTACTAAGACCATACATACTGTGCCTCTCCCATCCTTACCACCGTCTCTGTCTCTTTTGCTATATGTGAGACAAGGGGGAGTCATTAAAGATGTTGGTTGGTGCCAGTGATGGAATCTGGGTTTCAGGTGGAAGATACAGCCAAAGGAATTTAGGGCGATCTTTGACCCCAGCGCATTTCCCAAGGTGACCTACCTACTCTATGAAATTAAGTGGGGCAGCAGCACCAAGTTCTGGAGGAAGTGGTGCCCGAACACCCCCACTCAGCATGCCGAAATCAACTGCCTGGAAAATGACTTCAGGGAGATACGCCACAGGCCTTCAGTGCACTGCTCCATCATCTGGTTCCTGTCCTGGAGCCCCTGTGGGCTGTGTTGCAGACTGATCGTTCACTTCCTACGGGCCCACCCCAAAGTGACCCTGCAAATCTACATAGGGCGGCTCTTCAGGCACAGAGATGAACGGAACCGACAAGGCCTCAGGGACCTGGTGAGCAGTGGAGTGAACATTTACATCATGAGCCTGCCAGGTAACACTTCCCAAGGTTACAGGTACCTCAGTTCTGGACTCTGGGGAATGGGACATGAAGCCTTTCACTTCTAGGCCACTGGTGCCAGTTAGGTCCCAGGCTAGTAGTGAGTGAAAGTTATTCTGGTTTGATGGCCATGTGAAATGAGCTGGTGAGAGTCAATCCACAATCAAACACTGCCATATTGGCCAAACATTGATTCATTTCTAGGGAAATGCAGTTGGGATGGGGGGGGTCAATGGGTTGGTTCAAATATTTCCACATGCTATTCCCTGCTCCCTGCAGAGAGAATGGAGTTTTAGCAGCTTCTCTTGCCCCCTGCTTTTTCTTTCTCTCCCCGCATCTCTCCCTGCTGGTTCTGCCTGTTCCCTTCCCAGAGGGTGGAGAAGCTCTTGGAGAGAACTGTTCCCCCACTAAGGCTATGTGGAGTCAGATAGATCCCTAACCATCACAGGTACAAGAGCCACCCTCATGAGGCACCCTCTTAGGGTACAGCGCTGTAGGCTACATCACTTATGCCTCAAACAAATCCCGTTAGGAGCTCGGTGTCATCTCCACACTGTCCCAGTTTCAGGAAGTCTTTGGTATATAGGCGTCCCCTCCACCTTTGAGCATGTGGGCATGTCTTTCTTTTCTCCTTCCTGGGTCACTGTATCCTGAGCAATAATGAGGACATCCCCCTTCAGCCTGAGATTGGAGCTTCATGCAGGGCAGCACAGCACATCAGGCATCTCCAGGTGCCAGTGTAACGCCAACAAACCGCAGTCATGGGCAGGCAGAATCAAACCTGGGGTCTCTGGAGCTTAGTGCACAAGCCTCTACTGCATGAGCTAAAATCCAACTGGCTGTTAGTTAAGGCTGTGGAGCAGACTCATTTTATCTCTCTCTCTAAGTGGTCTCGGTGCCACTAGATGGGACAGAACACCACATCCAGGAGATGTGTGGGTTACACCAGCAGTTCAAGTGTCCCTTCTATTAAGGCTTCTCCTCCCTTGCCTTGATCAAACTCAGGGCGGGTGATGATTGGTGTATCAGTCGCCTTGTTGTGTCCTTCACCGCATGACTAGTGATCTTGTTATTCACTCAGCTTACAACTACTGTTGGAGAACATTTGTCGACCACCGAGTCAGAAAAGATGATATGTACTGGCCCTGCTACTTCACTCCATGGATGATATTCTATATGCTTGAACTCCAGTGTATCCTACAGGTTGGTAGGTGCTTAATGCTGGGGTGGGGAGAGAATTGATCCAGCGTCACATGTAGGTAAAAGGAGATGGTCCTGTGGTTGAAGCATAGAACTGGTAGTCAAGAGACCAGAGCTCTCTTCCTGGCTCTTCCCAGAGGGAATCAAATTCAGCCATGGAGTAAATGGGCAGAACTCTACTGAAGTGAGGTTGCACCAGATTAAACCAGGAGGGTGGACTTTAGCCTAAGGAGAACTATGTCCCATCAGTGGCATTTCATATTTCTCCTTCAACATCTCCTCTGGCTCTGATGACCCATTTTCATGGCTCAGCTCTAATACATGGAGAGTGCCATCTGGGTTCATGGGGCCATTGAGTATTTTGTGGGTTTCCTTTCAAATTTCTTCTCAGTAACACTGTTGAAAAGTGGCCAGTAACTGCAGCTCAAGGGAGAGGTTCTTTATTGTTGCTGCTTCCCTTGAAATGCCCAAGTGACCCTATCATGATGCCATTGGACTGTTAGCTTCCAAAGTTCTTTTAATATCATTTTCTCTGTTTGTACCAGGGCCTACCTCCTTGTTTACAGATTTGGCTGAAGAATTACACTGGCTTACCTTTTTTCCGACTCGTTTTACAAGAATCTCATAGAAAAATACTCTGGCAAAGTCTCCACACAGCAAACAGTCACCAGCAGCCACTGATTTTCAGGCCCAGGCCATCAGCTGAGCACTGGTACCCATCAATGTATTTTACTGGACCACCGGTCAGTCACAAGCAGTGACCTGTGCTCAAGCCTAGACACAAGTCAATCAACAGTCTACACCAACATACTAGCCTGGAGCACCAACCATTTTTCAAGCCTGAACCATCAACAAGGCAAAGGGTTGGCCCAGTCTTGTACTTTGGTGTGTAGCTATGATTGGCTGCTTGTATACAGGTAGTTATTTTTTTGGAATATCTCACAGTGCAAGTGAAGATTGTGATTGTAGCAAAGGTAGGCATGCCTGTGTTATCTCTAAACTGGTGAGAACAGGTACCAATAGTAGTGTAGATGTGGTGACATGGGCTTCAGTGCAGGTTAGCAACCACAGTACATACACAGGCTCCCTGAAGCACTTGTACTCTGGTTGCTAGCCCATGCTGAAGCCCATGCCATGACATCTACCCTACTATTGTTACCTGTACTCACTAGTTTAAAGCTAACATGGATATGCTTTGCCATGCTACAATCACACCTTCACTTGCAGTGTAGACATTCCAAAAAGTAACCACCTATCTACAAGCATCCGATTACAACTACACACCAAGCTACAAGACTTGGCCATCAACCAATCAACAGGCATCATCCTTATACTGACCTGGACCATGGTCCAGTCTCATGGATAGATGACCCTAATGTCTTCAATTCAATTAACTGAAATGGGCTAGATTCTGTTTTCATCTACACTGGGGTAAATCCTGAGTAACTCCACTGAATTCAGTGGAGTCACTCTAGATTTCTACCAATGCAAATGAGATCACGGGAGGAGGAAGAGGTGTGTATTTCCTAAGGAGCAATCCTTGTACTAGGTACATTTAGGGAAGAGTGCTTTAGTAAATTACATTACTACAGATACAGCTCAGGTGTGCCTAGTGCCTTATCAACGATCCCTAATTAGTAATGATTTCAAGCTGGAGATGCAAAGTGGAGATTTTAAAATGAGTGCATTTGTGAATTGGAGTAACAGCCTGCAGAATTGCAAGTGGCTTTGGGTGACATCTAAATATTAGTCTTTTAGACTATGATGAATTTTTAGCCCCCATCTGCACTAAACATTCAGCCATGCCAGGGAACTGGCTACATGCTCAGTTGACCCCTGAACCAGTCACAATCATTGCTCCAATTTGTAGGGAAGGCCAGAACTTTCATAACCATGTTACAACTCTGACACAGTTAACTTCCCCTCTATAAGTAGGACCCAGAAGCCCAATCCCACATACACAAGTAACTGTTGTTGAGTAACTGTTGAAGCCAATGGGATCTGAGTATATTTATTCACATGGTAAGTGGTTGGAAAACTGGGCCCAATGTTAAGGGGCAACCAGGTTAGGGGCAATGGTGTTGCAAACAGAGTCCCCAGGAGGGTTGTAGTTGTAATTTAGGCAGGGCCTTATTAGACTAGATCTTCACTTGCAGAGAACAAGGAGGTGAAGAGCATATGACTAATGGTGATGAGAATGACACATTCCGAAAACATATTTCTCAGAGCTTTGAATGTGTGTTTTCAATGTTTAGCTGTAATTCAGCTCATATTGCTTCAATATGATCCCTAATGATATTCCACAATTGTGATAAATGAAGGGGGGGAGAGCTCCCTTTCATGGATCCAGCCAGCCAGTTAGCTATAAAATCCCTCTTGGTAGCTGTTCTCTACTTGCTTTACCTGTAAAGGGTTAAAAAGTCTCACTGCTATGCATAGGTAAAAGGAAGTGAGTGGGCACCTGGCCAAAAGAGCCGACGGGAAGGCTAGAACTTTTTAAAATTGAAACAAGACTCCCCTTTGGTCGGTCTGTGTTGTTCTCCTGGAGAGCAGGGGCAGGGCTGAAACTATGCTGTAAAAAGCTTTAAGCCAGGTATGAAAAATCATCAGATCATACCTAGAAGCTACTCATTTAAAACCCTAAATATGTAAGTAGATCAGGAAATGTCTAGGAAAACGTGATTAGATTTATTTCTTTTATTTCTTTATGGCTTGTGGACTCCTCTGTGCTAACCACCAAATGTTTTTGTTTTGCTTGTAACCATTAAGCTGGACCTCAAGAAAACCAATCTTGATGCTTAATTATTATATTTGCTCTTTTTAAATCTAGCAATAGCGTAAATTTCAGATGTATTTTCTTTTTTTGTTTGTTTTTAATAAAATTTACCTTTTTTAAGAACAGGATTGGGTTTTTGTGTCCTAAGAGGTTTGTGCACATGTTGTTGAATTAGCTGGTGGCAACAGCTGATTTCCTTTCTTTTCTTTCTCAGCTCTTCCCCAGAGTGGGGGTGAAAGGGCTTGAGGGTACCCCACAGGGAGGAATTCCCAGGTGCGCCTTCCTGGGTTCAAAGGGTTTTTTTTGCATTTGGGTGGTGGCAGCATCTACGCATCAAAGGTCAGAGAGAAGCTGTGACCTTGGGAGTTTAGTACAAGCCTGGAGTGGCCAGTATTAATTTTTAGAATCCTTGCGGGCCCTCACCTTCTGCACTCGAAGTGCCAGAGTGGGGAATCAGCCTTGACAACAATGACCAGGAGGAGTAATATGTGTGCAGCTCTTGAAAAGATGTGAATTCCCTGCTTTTTGATGACTGTGCTTTGATTACTCTTGTCTGACCAGATAACAAGTGTAAAAAAAAAAAACGGGATGGAGGTGGGGGTAATAGGAGCCTATATAAGAAAAAGCCCCCAACGGGACTGTCCCTATAAAATTGGGACTTCTGGTCACCCTACTGTTGTCTTAAGTCAGGAAGCTATTTGCAGCTATTTAAATAACAACTTTATTTAACCTACAAATGTATGAACAATGCTAGATTTTTTTATGGGCCAGACAGTAGATGGCACTCTTTCTATTAGGTAGCTATACACACATATATACTGCTAGGTATATCCTTTATATAGCACTCCCCAAATAGTTGTTCTTTTCCTTTTTTCTTTCCTGAGGTGTTTCCTAAACATCCTTTTAGATTTAGCTATTTCTTGGAGGAGTTACGTCTCAGTTGGAAATGTAATAAAGCACGTCAGCTATGAAAATGATGTCAATGTGCCCAAAAGGCCTGATTTGCAAAATGTCAGTACCAAAATTGCATGCACAAAAATGCAGGCACACTTGTGTAAGTAACACATGAGTAATTACCATGATTGTGCAGGCAGGCTGGCTAATTACACCTACAAATGACAAGAGATGCGTCTAGCCTTTCACATGTGCATTTGTGGTAATGGAATATGCAATTTAAGCATGGAAATGTGTGTGAAATTTTGTATACATAATTGTATGACAGATTTTCTGGAAGCCAAACCCAATAGGAGCACACGTGTGTATTTCAGGGTGGCACTGACAGCATATATATGCTGGATTTGAAAAAGGACTGGATACTTTATTGACCATGATCGACAATTTTGCCTAAGCCAGCTAAAATGACAGTATCACTCATCAGCTGTCATGCATAGCAGAGAGTGGGATGAAGGGGTGTCAGGAAGGAATTTTTCTCCTACTTACAGCATTGTAGAGTTTTTCAGGTGCAACATGGGCACTTTTGCGTGATGTTGGCCACTGCAGCATGACGGCTACCAGACGAGGTGGAATGAGGGCTTGATCTGAAATTACAGGTTCAGTGCTCTGGCTTTCCCCAGGGATCTCCATAGGGAGCATACCTCTGGGATTCACCTACACAACACCAGCATCTTCCTTAACTCACAAACAAGGCCAGGGGTAGATCCCCTGGAATTTCCATTGAGAATTAATGCTTGATCCAAGTTATAAATAAGGAAGGAAGCCTAGGATCAATTCCCCGCTATCTCCATAGGGAATATCATCAGTGAAGTGACACCCATATTAGAATCATAGGGTTAGAAGGACTGCAAGGGTCATCTAGTCTAACCCCCTGCCAAGACACAGGCTTTGTTGTGTATTTACAGTCTATAAAAGAGTTTGGGATCCTTGGGGATTAAATGCAAAGTTATTACATTATATTCACCTCTGTTTCTACTCTGGATGGAGTCACCCTGTGTCATCTTGCTTGGATGAGCTTATATAGCAAATTTAGTGCAGCCAGTGCCTTTGTGATAAATCACCTTACTGATGGATTGCTTGTATGAGACCCAGGTTGTTTGGTGCCTACCTACTACAGCACATGTTGGAAATGTGTGAACTAGATCAGATAGATTACTATAGCTTGATCAACTAGGTTAGATAAATGACCAAAGCTACTGTCAATACTATTGAAAGGAAATGACCTGTGATGGGGTTTGAACATTCAGTGCACATAGAGGAGCCTTTGTTGTCTACTGTAAGATTTCCCCTCTTTTCATTCCCCCCGGATTACTAGTGAATGCTACTTGGAATAAAATCCAGTGTCCCAACTTTTAGAAAGTGTTGCTTTAGTAATACTTCTATAGCTCATCACTCTACAGAGGAGTCCATCTTCCAAAAAGGGTAGTGGCATTATGCGAGGCAGTGCTTTAAACCACGAGTTGAGGGCTTCAATAGCTCAGACATAGGTCAGGGGTTTATTACCGGAGGGGGTGGGTGAAATTCTGTGGCCTGCGTTGTGCAGGAGATCAGACTAGATGATCATAATGGTCCCTTCTGACCTTAAAGTCTCTGAGTCTATGAGAGAGTGCTCTCTGCTGACCAAGGCCCTGAGCTATGCTCAAAATAGGAGACTGGGTTCGCTTCCCAGCTCTGCTACTTCCTTGTTTTGTGACCTTGTGCAAATCAGCATCTCAGTTTCCTCCTCTGTAAATTGTGGACAGTGAGGTTTACCTCCTTGTATGGGGAAGGGTTGTGGTCTATTTATTATAAGCCTTGCCTGCATGTTAAGTATCATCACTTTGCCTCTTTCCACTGATATTTCCAAAATGTAAGTTGCCTGACCACTCTAACGCTCTGTGTTTGATGTGTGACGCTGTAATGATTTAAAGGACAATTTGAGGGGATGCCATTAGTTTACCCCTAAAATAACCAGCATGTCTAGGATTCAGCTTCAACATCTGGATTATGCTCCAAGCCTTTCTCCCATCTTCATATCCTTTATATGGCTCATCTCTGGAACAGACCCAGCCAAAAGCTAGGGCTCATACGTAGGTTTGGAAGGATTCGCTTTTTATCAGTAAATATTGATTTCACTGTTCACTCACAAACCCCGCGAGAAAATATCTCCAGTGATAATAATCAAAATTTGCAGCTAGGCAAAGTAAGGGAAATGCTGCTTGAGAACTCATTAGACTTTTATTTAAGGCTATATTTTGACATGTGATGAAGACCCTTCCCCATAATTTTGTGCAACTGTGACAATTTAAATCAATACAACTTTAAAAAGTGCTTCAAAATAAACATCAACTGTATCCATTGAAATTATTTTTAAAAAACCATAGTCTGCCAAGCTTACTCATACACAAGAACTTTATTTATCGATATATATGTATTTATTTTTTTATA